TTATACTAAGCCGCCTCCGAACGTCTGATGGGTTCCTACGAAGAGCCTCTATTTCATGTCACAAATATACTCGGAGGGGTTAACATTCCCTGCCGAGGGGCAACCGAGCATCATATTTTATTTTAATTAATTTCCTATAACTGGATGTTAGTACGACGATAGGATTTGAACAAGAGCTTTCCGGACGTCAGTATGCAATGCTAACTACTCGCCTACCGAGGCCGCCAGAGTGAATTAGTAGGCCTTTAATCACTTGAAAAATACTACTAAAGAGTTTGGTTCCAAGCCAAGCTGCGTTGAGATGACAATAAAACTTGAAATGTCGAGACAAATTTGTTCGAAAATGGAACCGGGATAGAAGGGCTTATAAATGGACTTATATAACGAGGACAATCACAACTTTGGAGTCATACGAGTTTTGTATATAAATTATTTCATCATGAAACTACCACAAACAACAACAACAACAATCTGTAAACTCATCGCAACAGGGACTATAATGAAATAAATAAGCATTTCAAACTTATCTGCCTGTCGCTCATGTCTCGGCTTTGGCAGTCTTCGAGAGAAAGGTTTTGCAGCAGAAAAGGTATACTCGTACATTAAAATAATTCACCCAATTGGGAATTGGACGCATCACGCCGTCGTAGGCTTCATAGCACTAACTCTATCAAAAATGATGATTCTTATTTTTGTTCAAGTAAGGCAAGGCTGAAATCTGATAACTTTTGAATCCTGGCTTTTGCACAGAAAATTTTTCTCCAATTTATGAGATGAGATGTTTTAAAATAATAATAATTAAAATACTTCCGGATTAAGGAAGAAACTAAAAAATTGATTTAAAAACCATCAAACCTACTCTACGGTCTAAGAGAAATTAAATATTAAACGCCAATTTTTTGGAAATTTTTTTGTCTAGTTTGTAGTACTGGAGACAAGGATATTTCAAAATCTCGATTTTCTCGTACTCTTTTGGACCATTTGTTTGAGGTTTTAGGAACGCTCCCTAGCTCGTAAGAACCTAAGAGTCCATGTTAAATTTAACTTTTTCATTACTTCACACTCTCCTCCTTACAACTCTTTTCAACCTAACAAAAATCCCTTTAAAGCCTCTCTCTTCTCATCCGAGTATTTAATTTGAAATATTGAAATTGCTTGTCAATGCGCAGCGTGGGGTAAATATGTGAGACTGTCATTCGCAAGCAACAAAAACGAATAACAACAACAAAAAGCGTTATGCATATAAGCAACAACAGCAACAGCACAACAACACATGGTGTTGACTTGGCAACGGCAAATAATAACAGAAGATTGTAAATAAAATGAGTTATAGTCATGCTGGTAAAATGTGAAAAAGAGCAACAACAATAAGAACAACAACTCAAAAAAAGATATTGCTTTAGAGAAGAAAGTTAGTTGCTGACAACAAAATCAAGGCAAGGATGTGTGCAATGCAACGTCAACGTCAACGGCAACGGCAACAAAAAAGTGTCAACAACAGCGGCAGCGACAGAAATGGCTGAGAAGCATGAAAAACAACAGCAGCGCCAGCAGCAGCAGCGCAGACAGTAACCACAGAGGCAACAGGCCGTAGTCGACAGTGTGCAAAGTTGATTAGCTTGACAATATCGCACCCTTCCCAACCGTCGTTGCCACCTGCCGCACCCTGTGCGCGCCGCGCCGTCTAAATCCAAAGTATGAAATTATTTACGCGCAAGCAACTAAAGAAGCGAGCAAATGAGCTGATAAGCGGTGGAACGTATGCGTTTGTGTGTGCGTATGCGTAACTCTGCTATGGGAAATTTATATTTAAGCTTTTCTCCCCTTTTTTATTTGCACGCCGCCACACATCAACACCCGTAGGGGGTTGCTGTGCGTCACGGCAGACACTTTCAGGCGCATTGTTGCACTGTTGCTTTTACCGCTGCTGTGGCATTCAACTTGGCGCTTTCGCTATTTTAATATTATTTTATTTTACGTTTATTTCGTTTTTGTTTTTGTTTTCTTGTTTTTTGCTCTTTTGTCTCGTTTTAGCTCTCTCACCGCAATTTGCAGACATCTAAAAATATTTACACTTGTTTATTTAAATATCCGCGGTGTTGACATGAACTCTTGCGCTGTGGTTGACGTTGATTCTGAGTACTGTGGCGCCACTGCAATAAGGACTGGTGGAAGTATGTATATATGTATGTATGTATGTATTTACCACTTCCTCATTGGGAAAAGTTGACACAGTGGGAGTTTTAACATTTTCTTTGTTGGCTTACCAGGCGGAGACAGGTGTGCGGTGGTTTTGAAGGAAGGGTAAGATCTTAAATTTAACCATTGACGGTACAGCTAAATAACGAGGAAGTTATATGAAAAAATGCTGGGAGCAAAAGGTTTTGAATTTCACACACTAAAAATCAAACTTAAAAAGCGACTCGAATTTAGTAATTTCAAAGAAAGTGCAAAAGTAATAAAAATAAAATAATAACTGAAAAACATTTTTTACTAAATGATTTTCATTATGCAAGGACTCTCTGAGAGTTTATAAATATTATTATAAACTCAATGATATTAAGGAAAAATATCGTCCTTCCTCCCTCCACCCCTGCATCCCTCCACACCTTCAATTTATACAGTAAATGCAACGGATCGTAAGGTAAAATAAGGAAATCAATCAATAAAAAATATAGAAATTAATTGAAAAATTAACAAAACAGAATATAAATTCAAAGAGAAAATCTCAAGATATTAATTTTTCTGTTAAATTTTTTTTTTTTTTTTTGTGTAAAAAATATTTTTTGCCGATGTCATAATTCCGATTTTTATAAATTACACCGCAGCGAAATCTGCCACGAAATTGATGGCCGTAGATGAATTTTCCGCTATGACACAGCTCCCTCCATCATTTATCTGAGAAGAAAATTTTAACTACGTTCAAGGGAAGCGCATGAGTCACGACTGTGTAATGTCTAATATTTGCATGAATGGTTAAAAAATTGTCGATGGGATGAGCGTCGGAGTCTGTTCCGCTGAGCTATACCTCAGTTAACCCAAGAAGCGGCAAGAGTACTGCAGCACTGTTCAGTCCGAGATCTTAAGTACAGTGAGAACTGCTGAGATATCAAGCAACGCCGAAAACCTCACCCAAAATGTTAACACAAAGCAACAATCAATATCAAAGCCATAACTTGCTGTCATCTCGAAATATTTTTTTTTGAAAGTCCGTGACCCTGCCATTTAGTCCACATAGCTGATTCCATTCAAATTCGATATAAGATAGCTACATATAAAGTACCCTTCAAGTCACTCTCTCAATGTTGAACATTTGAACATTGAACATTTTTTTCAGCAAGCGATTTTCCTACTCACAAAGTGAAAAAACTTTACATAAAAAATTCAGTTTCTCTGGCTTTAACTGAGAACATGATTTTTAAAACTCGGCAAAAAAATCGGAGATCGCTGAAGGAAGGATTTAAGTACAGTGACAAAGGCTTTCTGAAACAGGATCGACATGCAAATGTTGACCGTGACTGTGACTCAAATGGTCCATCCGCTTAGTCCAATTTTGGCATACTCTTTCCAACATTTCGGCCGGTGCCTCGCGAATAAATGCTTCAATGTTTTGCTCCAATGCGTCAATCGAAGATAGCTTTTTTTCACGTTCTAGATGGCCAATTGACCGGTCCCGAACGTGAAATAAAATGTTCGCCAAACTCGCCTCTCCATAAGTGCATTGTTATGCGTGCTGTATGGCATGTGACACCGTGTTGTTGAAACCACATGTCATGCAAGTCAAGCTCTTACATTTTGGGTAAAAAGAAGTTTGACATCATCTCACGGTGGCGCTCACCATTCAAAGTTACATTACGATTCGTATCATCTTTGAAGAAGTGCGATCCAATGATGAATTGATAGCTCTTGCAATAAATCTAGCTGATCTTCACTCCAAAATCGACAATGCTGCAGACGGCATTGACAATTATTTTGAAATTTAATTGTATTTTTTATTTTGACAGTTATAAGCTGTCACTTTTATATTTGCATAAATACCTAAATTGGCAAAGAAATGAAGCGAAAGTCTCTCTCCGGCTTTAGACTGTAAGAAAAATGATAATCCGTATGCGGTATGTCATGGCAAAGGCTCCTCATAAAAAATCATAATCCGACTTAGTATAAATGGTGGGTCCCTCTGAAAATCGTTTCAAAACTCCAAAAATACATACGTACATACATATATATAAAGGAGTTTGATTGAGTCTTATAAGGTTGGTTTCTTTCACCTGAAAGCAGAGAAGAGCAGCTCAAATTCGAGCAGAATAGGGCAGCTAGCACAAAAAAAAACCTCAGAGCAGGTAATGCAGAGCAGTAAGAAGGCAAAAACACAAATCGTAAATATTTTGTTTGTATAATTTGTTAAGATGGAAGGAAGAGCAAGCAATGATATGATGTAACAACTTCACCTGCTATAAATTCGCCTTGAGCAGTTGTCTCATGAAAAATTTTTGCGGTAACAATTTTCGTAATCGAATTTTTGAACATTACGATTATCAACCAAACTTAAAATATTTATGAATTTTATTCTTTTTATAATTTTTTTATAAATTGAAAGTTTATTATTTAATAAATCAAATTTGGTAGCATAAAAATAAAGCAAAAGTCAAAAAATGTTTAATGTAGAAAGTTAATATTAAAAAAAAAAATTACTGAAACGACATTGTTTTTTGCGTCATAAACTAGAGTAAATCAAGGCAAAAAAAAAATTTAAAATACAGTAACGAAAAATATATTTTATATATATTTTTTCTAATAAAATTTTTATATCTTTTTATTATAGTAGATTATAAAATTTAAAAATAACTAAAATGAAATATAATTTAATTCATAAAATGCAAAAAAAATATCTACACATTATTGTATATATATAAATGTATATGTGTATGTACAGTAGATTAAATAAATTTCCTATAACAAATCAATTGAGTCTTTTCCTTCCGCTTATGCCAAACACTTACTTGATTGCTTTCCATTAAGTTGATTGAGTCGCCGATGTTTTGGCAGCTTCATTCAATTACAACTAAACGAGCAAAGGCAGCAAATCTACACACACGCTTATACACATAAATATGAAGATATGTATATATAATATATATATATAAAAACGCACACAAGCGAACACTCGAAACCATTCGTAATTGAAACTTAACAAACAAACGATTTTTGGTTTTTATTGATATTTCACTTTCACTTGCTGCCGAATGCACGCGCACTCATGAGGAATCAAGATAAGGAATGCAAAGTATTTTTTAAAACGCAGAACAAAACAAAAGAGAAAAATAACGTTTTATTTCGCTTTTTTCTATTTTTATTTATTTATTTATTTTTATTTTTGTTGTTCAATCGCAACAGTCTCAGCGCGCATATCGTCAATCGGCAAGCGAGAGTTTTATTGGCTTATCAACTTAACGCGATGAAATGGTAATAAACATTTGTGCACAGCAATAACGAAGAACAAATCGCAACAACAACAACAACAAAATAATAATAACAACAATGGTGAAAGTAAAAATATTAGCAGCTTGAGTACGATTATTTACGCGCCAAAACTTACAGAATGCATGCTGATAAATGTTTGTGTCAGCAGTTGGCAACTCAATGGCTGTGCGCCCAAATGTAGGCTATAAAACTTGTCTATCTGTATACGTACGTTTAAAGCTCAAGTGAGATTTTCGCGATAACAGAAGCAATATAAGGGACAATAAATTCACACTGAGGTCCTTTATTTCACGATCCTTTTTTCCCACATCTACACACACATATATTTTATATTTATTTTTATCATCAAAATACTAAAGGCATATGAGAATTTTTGCTGTTACAAATTTTCAATGTCAACATAGCAGAAAAGCAAAAGAAATATGAAAATAAGAATGAAATTTGTTTTAATTTAATAAATTAAGAAACAGAATCCAATTATTTTTTTACTAATAGAAATTTTTTTTATTTTTTTATTTTTTTTTTTTATTTTTTTAATTACTTTCAATTTTTGATATTTTACCATTCACTAACCAATGGTTCCCCCAACCAAAATAAATTTCGTAAGTTGTCAAATTTTCACGAAATACGTAGCGAAAACGAACTCCCTCAGCGTTTATGACTATTTCACTTCACGACACGTAAGGAACTGTTCGAACAATCTGCGATGGGATAACATTTTATAAACAGGCAGCCAAGGAACGCACTTCAGTGTTGGCATTCCACCAACAGAACGAAACTTGATGTTGAACTTTTAAGTTGCCATTGAAGTTTGTGGATTACAATGCCAAGTTTCGGAATTACGCCTAAGTTCCACTTTGGCTCTAGTGCAATGCGCAGGCGCGAGCTTTCCAGCATACACAAATCAAATGCTCACAAATACAAGTCAATGCTGTAGATAAATTTTGGCTTGCAAAAGAGCGTGTGGAGTATAGATAAAACGCACAGCTGATTAAAAAAGCAACTGGTGGTTGCGTGTTGCGTTGTGAAAGCATATGAGCTGCTGATAACCACAAAGAGGTAATAACATTGTGATGCAAAGGAAGTGCTGTCTGGCTTATGCAGGACTTTTAAGGGATTAAGGTAAAGTGGTTAGGATGGCCGGCTTTAGGTTTGAATATTGAAATGCGCATTTCTCGGATGCTATAGAAACTGGAATAATTATCACCGCTTCTGTTATTATTAACAAATATGCTTTCTGCGGGCATCTTGTTGACTAGTTTCAAGCAATGGCATCCTTGAAGAGTTCTTGTTACGAAAAAGAAGTAGGTTTCATCCAATTACAACCTCATCTCAAAAAATCTTTTTATATTTTCTCGTCCTTCATGAATTTTAACCAAAATCTAACTATAACCTCAACTTTACCGCCACAAAGTGTCTTTAGTTGGCAACAGCAATGATATGGGTTCGCCCGTTATATGGTACATCATTAGAAATATTTACTTCTGAATAATATTTCAATGAGTTTTATGTTAGGAAGCGCACTTGTCCAAAGTTTGCTTGACCGAGGTGCACTGCGGAAGGTTTTCGTACCCGCCATAGTACTTAATCTATATGCCTAAAGGAAACAGGTTGCACTGATTTTGATAGATCTGCATCTCGAAATCCCCTTACACTCTATGGGCATAGGTTGCGAGTTTTACTATCTTGATGAACCATCCTGAGACCTTGATAATGCTGTTATCAGGGTTTCATTTCCATTTAGTATTCTTAATCAAACTGCTTATATCAAAAATATTTTTGTGAATAGCCATTCAAGGTTTCCTGTATCAAACTTGCGCAAGATGGAGGGAATTACAGTTTATACTGAGCCGCCTCCGTAGGCTTATGGTTTTTTTTTATGAAGACCCTTTATTTCATGTCCGAAATACACTTGGAGTGGTTCACATTCCCTGCCGAGGGGCGACCGCAATTAGGAAATTTAACTTAATTTTTTTTTATTCAAATGAATTTTCCATAACTTTTTGATGTTGGTCACACGGGGATTTGAGCCCGAGCCTTGCGAATAGCAGTATGCAATGCTAACCGCTCGGCTACCGCACCTTAAATTTGTTCCCTCGCAGAGTGAGGCGCCAATCGGCTTATCAATTGATGGCTCAAAGTTTTCGTACTTTAATTTATGTCTAAAGTTTAACTTATTTCCCCGAGGATAGTTGCTTTCTTTTTTACTCTTAATACAAGCTTAAAATTAAATTATCATTTTAATAGCAAAATGTTGTTATCAATGAATTTTTGATATTTTTTCAAAGCTTGTTTATTGCCATACCCACCCCTGTCCTCACCGCGAATCTTTGCTCTGCGCTTGTATGTGTGTCGCTGTTATTGATTTACTCCTGCGAATTATTTTCATTATTTAGTGGTTGTTGTTTTATTACAAAAGTTTGTTTGTCATTTTCAGAAGACTCACTTCAACGGTGTCCTCTGTTGCTGATCCCTTACGTGTCACTGAATCTAATTTTATTTAAATATCGAATTTCTAATTTAAATTGGAGTGAGTCCAAACATCATCGGTCTTGTTGCTTGGCACTTCTAAGCACATCAGTTATTCGATATGCCTTTGAAGTGAGAGAAATTCAATTTAAATATTGTTGGCTAAGAGCTTTTTGATGTTTTTAATGTAGTTTTTCTCACGTTTTTTTTTTTTTTTTGGAAAAATATTTGTTTTAGCTTAATATACCATCAAAATGTTTTAAATCTAAATTTCAACCATTTTTTAATTTTTTTTTTTAATCTTTTTTTTTTTTGCTCCTTCGCATTTTTATGTTTATACGTCCGAGCATGTGTGTTTATTTTGTACATAAAGGTAGTGTTAACATGTCTGTTATTCTATCCGCTTCGCATACCAAGTAAATCAATGCAATTCGAAAAATAAACAAAATACAACTGTGGCAATTCGGGCGTAACGAAAAACTATTTGTCTATCAACTGAGCGCAACAAAACACGTGCAAATTTCAAAAGTTTCAGTAAAAAGTATAAAAGTGAAGTAAAAATCAGTGACAAAACAAATCGAATAAAATAAAAACGAAATTCACATATTATGTTATCAATTTCAATGCAAATATTCGCACAGTATAATATACAGGGTGAGATATGTAGTTGCTCGTGTCGATGTTGTCAGTAGCTTACTGCAGTTAAGAAATACCCATAAGGACTCCAAGGCGATCTAGTGTATGACCTAGCACAATTTTTAATTGGTTTTAGTGAAGATTTTTATTGAAATAAAATGTTTATTTTGTAATAGAAACATTTATTAAGAAGTCAGCTGAAGCGATTTCAAGATGAGCATCTTGGTCGATTTCCAACAAACGCTATTCGCTTTAGTTCTCAACTAAGCCGCTTAAGAGGAGCTGAGCAAACTCAACTACCTCTGAAGATTTCTTTACATAATTTTTTACGCTTTCCAGGTCTAGCAGTTTTCCAAGAAGCAGTTTATTATTCACAAGATACCCTCTGTCTCCTATACATGCAACACAATCCCTTTTCGCACAATTTCTGCGTAATTTTTCTTATAAATATTCTTCCTATTATGTTTTTAGCTGAAATAGTTGCGGCTATTTTGTCAGTGTAAAATCAAAGATAAATATAATGGTATAGAGAACACAACTTCATTTACGCGTTGGGTCTGGATACTAGAGGAATGTTCAGTTCTAAAAAAAAAAAAAATAGATAGACAGTTATCTTCATCAACTTAGTTTTTAATGTCTCATTGAGTGTTATTGTTACCTTGTATATATTTCATATCGTTTCTCACTCCTTACTTACTCTTACGAACGAATTTCCATGTCTTACTCTCTATAACTCTTATTTGTTCTTTCTCTTTCCCTATTTCTTTCTTTTTTCAAAACTATATAACTCTCCGTCCACTCACTGGGAGAGATGAGGGTCAAGAATAATATAAGATTTTTTTCGGAGAAGTCCTGAGATAATGAAGTTTTTTGTTGAAATTCTTTCGAAAATTATATGGCGCTGTAGATAATATAATATACATCAACTTTGAATAGCTTAATTCTGGTTTTTATGTTGTTTGCACTGACTTGACCTTTTAACGTCTTACTTAAACTATCTCTCTATAATTCTTTCTCTCTCTCTCCCTGTCTCTCTCTCTTTCTCTCTCTCTCTCTCTTTCGCTCTCTATCCCTCTCTCTCTTTTTCTCTCTCCCTCCCTCTATCTCTTTCTCTCTCTCTCTCCCTGTCTCTCTCTCTCTCTCTCTCTCTTTCTCACTCACTCGCTCTCTAGGCAGCGACGCCTTATATCTTTTGAAGGGGTTAATTGATCTCAGTGTAAGGGAATGTAATGTACACTCAAAGAGACATAAATTCCAGTCGAAAGGAATATCGGATATCTGTCTACTTCGATGGGGACTTTTATTTTCAACTAACCTTATTTTATGCAAAAAAGAATCAGTATTCAATTGTCTAGCAATAAAAGGTTCTGCTTTGAAAACATTATAGATCATTCTCTTTGTATTTCAGGGTTTGTAGAGAAGTCCTCACAAAAGAGCTTTAAGACCAAAGTGCTCTAGTTTCGTTTGAAGTAAACATCATGTCGTGGAACGGTATCTCCTCTCTCGCTTCAATTTTTCTATTGGCGTTCTAAATGTGTAATTGATTTTTTTTTCAACAAGGGTTTGAGAATAGCTAAAGATGCTAACATGCTTCTACTGACGACAAAATGCTCTTTACTGCTTCTGTTTCTCAAACTGTTCGTACTCACAAGTCTGGCTGAAAAATTTCCTAGTATTATCCTTTCATCGGAAAGCTGAGTTGCTTTTATTGGCTATAATTTCTATCTGAGA